GTCAACAGAACAAATGTAATTCTCTTCGCCATTGTTTACATCGTGCTTTATGGTTCTCTTTCACATAATGAATTTGATGTTTCTTTTATTTTGCTAGCCTTGTCATCATGCTCCAACGGTCAGTTCTGCCTTTCCCTCTATGTGATTTTAATTTTGACTTATACATTAGATATCGACTTTCTTTTAGGAAAAAGAATTTTATCTGATGCTTATTTTCGTTGTGGTTCATTAATTAATGGGAGTGCAGGCTTTAACTTTCCACAAATGCAACAACCTGAAAGTCAAGAACATAAAGATCTTTAATAGTCAACAAATGCATTTAGCATTTACTGGTTGCAAACATGTTACAGTATCACAACTCGTAGTCAAAGCCCCAGGTGATAGCCCCAACACCGATGCAATCCACATAAGTTCATCTACACAGGTCAATGTCAAGGATTGCACTATTGGCACAGGTTAGTTGATCTTTAGTCATTGCAATTGGAGAGACAGATCATCTGATCACTATTTGGCATTATCGTTGTTTCTAGTTGTAACTTTGCTCGACATGGCTTGGATTACAATCTAACGAATACAATGAATGTTTTGGATGATAAAATTCGGATTTATGGTTCGAATAATGCATTTTATGGGACATAGCTATGTGTTTGCGGAGGTCAAATATAAGGCATTGTCTAGGGGATCTGCAATAGTGGACCAGTAGTTGTAGTTCAATTATTGTTAGTAAAATGTGAAGTCTTTGGATACAATAAGCAGGTAAAATATATAAAGCCAACTCTTCTTTACGCCAGATCGATTGATACTCAGTTTCTTCGTTTTAAGTTTTTCTCTCTATTGCCGGATACTCCAGTTGAGGCAATTTCATCATCAACAATGCATTGATTTTGTATGATCAAGGATATCGTATTCACATTCGATCCTCTATCGTATATTTCATTATCTTTTGACTAACGAAGAAACTGAATACAGGAGATGACTGCATATCTATTGTCGGCAATTCATCACGGATCAAAGTCAAAAACATTGTGTGTGGGCCAGGCCATGGTATAAGGTAGAACACTTTTCTATTTTGTTGAAGTTATGTATAAGATGAAGTTTCTAATTAGTTCCCTGTTCTTTTAGCATTGGAAGCTTGGGAAAGTCAAATTCATTTTCTCAGGTTTACAATGTTCATGTTAACGGAGCATCTATTTCCAACACTGAGAACGGGGTTAGAATAAAGACTTGGCAGGTAATTTGTTTCCATATGCGCATGAGATGAATCTTCAAAACCTCGACACCATTTTTGGTGATCATTCTGCACTATGTTTCATCTCTAGAATATAAATTTGCTGACCTACGGTTGCATATCCTAATCGTGTTGTTGGTTTCCCCTTAATGCTTCTTCAGGGTGGTTCTGGGTTTGTCAAAAAGGTTTCTTTCGAGAATGTTTGGATGGAAAATGTCTCAAATCCTATCATAATCGACCAATATTATTGTGATTCTACGAAACCCTGTTCAAACAAGGTATGTTTTCTACTCCATTTCTTGATTCTCAGTTCAAATTCAGCTTCTTTGTCTGTTCTATAAATTGGTTGCGTAGAAAAAGAGTTCTCTCTTGCATGTCCGTTCTGCATTTTAGCTAGGTATTTAGGTGAGCCTTTCTTAGCCAAGGCCATTTCTGTATTGAGCTTATGACAAAGGTCTGTTGACATAGTAAATTGTTGGCCTACTAGTGAATTAGTGAAGGTAGCTACATCCATGATGGAGTTATTGCTTGAGAACTAAGTGAATATTTAATACCCCTCCGTTTCAATTTGTCTGTTTTAAATTGAACTTTCTGCATGACATGGACCACCAGATTAAAGAACATGTTGGTACATTCTACATATCTTAAGTTTGAAGACGAGAAGTTTCAAAAGTCCTATTTGTTTTCTTAAACTATGTACCAAGTAAAAACCAAACAAAGAAATTGGAATGGATCTGATTAGCTCTGTATTAAACTCTTCTTTGATAATTACTTGTTACTTCTGGACTAAATGAAATTAGTAATTCACTGCTCAGCATCTAGGTAGAAGAAATAGACCATCAACAGTATTCCATGTTTGTGTGTGAATGTGTGGGCTAAAACTAAGTGTAACTGTGGACTTGCGCAGACTTCAAATATTCGCATTGACAGCATATCCTTTATGGGTATTAAAGGAACTTCAGCTACAGAAAGGGCAGTAACACTTGCCTGCAGCGATAGCTTCCCCTGCAGAAAGTTGTACTTGGAAGATATTCAACTTACTTCATCTTCTGGGGATCCTACAACATTTTTTTGCTGGCAGGCATATGGCACAACCTCAGGTTTAAATTATCCCCCTCCTTGCTTTCCCTGTAATGACGGCATTCTTCAGCCAAAATTTTTATCTAACTGGAGTCAATCGATTTGATGTCTTCTATTCTAATTGTACAAATGCCTGGACCATATATCAGTTGAAAACTGCTAAATTAATTGTCATTGATATTCGTTATCCTGAGCAAAGCTAGTTAACTTATCAAGCAAGTGGAACAGTTTGGTCCACAACATACTGATGAGTAGCTTGTCCAAGTAGTGATGTTTATTGAAGAAAATTTGAATGTTGATTAATGGATCTTTATTACTTCATTCATCTGTAAATAAAGTGCTTATTCCTTTTCATGAATCTTCATGAAAAAAGAGAGTATGATATCTAACAAATCGGATGACGAAACAAGAAATGCAAAAAATGTTTCTAAACAAAATTATATACCTAAAAGAAGGTATTATAAAAAGAAAAACAATTTCAAGAAAACAAAACCAACAGAAAAATGTAAATAGAAGGACATAAAAGTTATGAATGTAACAAGAAAAGAGTAAAAATTTGCGTCCGATTGTCCATATTGGACGTTTCTGCAGATAAAATCTGCAAGAAAATTACTTTCTCAAATTTTTTTTAATCTTTCTCAAAAAAAAAATCTGCAAGAAAATTGTCACTGCCTTTAATATATTCAATTTTAAATGAATAAAAGGATAGCAACACCTGCCATCGATGCAATCTTCTGTACTGAGGTTCAGAAGGAAACTGTGAAGTTGAATCTTCTATTGCATCTCGATTTACTGATATTGCTAGATCAGATAAGTGATGTTATTAGTAATGTCCTTGAAACGATAAACGCTGTGAGACTTATGAAGTATAGCTATAGCCTGCCTGCAGAAAAATTACATCCGTTTGTAGATTCTTGTTTCGGGTTTTTTTCTTAAACATCTCCGCTGGAAAACTATATTACAATGTAGTATACTCTATGAATCTCGTGTTTCTTTATGTGTTCACTTCTTTATATTTTGAATCGCTATACCAAAAATCTTGGCTCTGTTACTATGCGTTCCTTTCAGTAATGCTAAATATCATTGTGTAAGAATTACCACAAAATATTAGAATCACGACTTTCTGGAGAAAAAAAATTGAATCTCAAATTGGGCTCTAGAAACTTCATTTGGAATATGGCCAAACCTACCCTTTTTAGAGTTTGAAAAACATGAAGGTTGCTGAAAGAAAATTGGTAGAACACCGCAAGTGATAAAATGGAATCCCAAAATTAGGCAGATTTAAGTTGAAAGTTGAAAAATGAGAGGGGCACCGGCATAGAGCCTGCCCATGCAGGCTCTATTGAATATCAAAGTCAAAATCACATGTGCTGACACGCTACTTGCTAGAAACTTGCCCATGCCACATGATTTGAGTAATAATTTGCTACCTACAAAGCAACAGTCAGGCATTTATTTAGGTATAGTAATAAACTAAAAAGATGCCATGCCGATATTCAATACACTCTATCCCCCTTTCTTTCTTCTTAGATTCCTTCAAATCTGTTAATGGTCACAACAGCACGTGGAAATTATGATACTTCATTGAAGTGTATAATCATGTTATTTAAAAGCTTAAATTATTAGAGAGAACACACTTTCATTATTTAATTGCATTTTTAATGATAATATATGAATTCGAAATAGAATAAAAATCAGAATAATTAGCATCGCACATGAAAGTGACAACCTTGAATCGCCAGAAATGGCGACCAAACATGGGACCTTTCGGTTTTAGTCCATCGCTTATGCCGCAATTTTTTCAAACTTCGCGGCTTAAGAAACGCATTCGTGTGGGGAATTTCAACTACTTACAAGTTACAACCATTTTAATAGGCGGCTCTCCTTCAGGCTCCATCTAAGTATTTACCAATTTTATGTCTATCTGTTATATCTTGCCTACTTTTATTATTATTACTATTTTTCTCACGTAGTTATCTGATTAAAATTTCATTTTGTCATATTAAGTAGTTTGATAACATTAAACATATCATTAGTGACAATTTGACACTATACATCTAGTTGGACATTTTATCATCTACTGTTAACCAAGTGGGGGAAGAAAAAGGATCCCTTCAATTATAATTACCTTATTTTTTTGGCTTGTTTCTGTCACGTGATAAATGATTATCAAGCGCATAATTACAGAGCTTACCTAATTCCATGACACATTTTCTTTTTCCTAAAACACCAAGGGGTCATTTAGTATCTGGTTTAGTGGTGACTTATGTAAATACTAAATTCTACACAAGTAATAGTAATAGTAATAGTGTAATACTATGATAGTTGGTTAGTAGGTGCGTTATTAATATATAAATTAATATTATATTTGGTTTATAGTTTAAATATTAAATACATAAATCATGAGACAATTCAATCTACTTTAACTTTATACTAATATATCAATAACTTAATCCTACATAACTAATTTATACAGATTACAAACACCTTGATTTAACTATGATTTTTTCCTGCAAAACAAAAATAATTAGGCAGCTTTCCGGCGTGGATAAAGGGCCAAAAAAGTAGATGGGAATCATATTCCCCACTTTATCACATAATTATTAATTACGAATCATAGAAGAGGAAAAGTCGTATCTCCTATATTGGCGTCTACCTATAAATATGGGTAATAGCCTATAGAAGCAGAACATTATCAACTCAAGTGTTTTTCTTTCAGAGCAGAGCAAAAATTAAGCTAAAAAATGAGTAGTTCCTTGAATCCCCGTTACTACCGCACAGCCAAAGTGGAAGAAATTGAGAAAAAAACAGAAAGGCCGATGGAGTACTTCACCAGAGAGATACAGAGGCCTAATTCTACGAATATGAGGAAGCCGGCGGCAGCGCCAAAGAAGCTGGAGAGCAAGCCATCGGAAGATATCAATGAAAGTGCGGAGAATTTCATAAACAAGTTTAAACAACAGCTGCTTCTGCAGAGGCTTGAGTCCATAGAGAACTACGAGCAAATGCTTAAGAGGGGAACATAACGACCTCTCTTTCAAAATTATTTTCTCAATTTTTCGCGTGTTATGTATGAATTGTTTCATTGTATTGCTATATGTGTATTGTGTGTGCGGTCAATTAGTAAGTCAGAATTATAAATAACTTGTAGTAATATATAAAAAAAATTATTATTACTGGGTATGTTGAGATTTGCCTTCTTGCTGCCGTGCTTTACTGCGTCTTTAATTTTTGTTGTGCTGCTTCAGAGATGCATATTTTTCAACATAATTTACTTGCATTGCTAGTTTTCTTGGTACTAAAAGTGAAAGATCTTTCTAAAAGAGGTATCCCCTCGGTGCATTTGTTGGATTTATTCATACATAAAAAGACTCATTTCAAAAAGTGTATTCTTCTTTTTGAAAATTTATTTATTTTAAAAAGGTAATCATGAATTCTTAAACTTCGTATCCAATCAAATTATATGCATATGATAGATATATCCTTCTTCTCAAGAGAACAGGATCGGGTTTGAGCGGTATGTATTTCTATTTTGTTAATGAGAGATCTGAGTTTAAGCACACGATATGGAGTAACATTTGTTACTTTAACCCCAATTTGGGATTATTTTTTTTTTTGCAAATTCAGATTTAGTCGAACTTAAAAGCAAAAAATATAGGATATGTCTTTCTTGAATGATCCTGTTGTGCAAATAAGATGATCCCTTTTATGTATATTAAAGGAGACTAGGGTATCTTTATCTTGTCTTGTCCTTTTTGAAAATGTGGAGTTGGAAATCAAAGGAATAAAAGAGGTTATTCTGTAACTTTGAACAACTTTTGAAGGTCGTATCGAAAGCTAGCCAGTACCCTAATTGGTGTTTGTTTAAGTTGTAAATTGTTAACAAAATTCTTTAAAAGCTTTTTGGAAAGATGTTAAATTGTCCCACAAGATTTTATTTATGAAGGGTACTGTCTGTACTAGCTACTAACCATTTCCAATTTTGGCTTTCGGCTAGGCAGCCTTGGTAGCAAATTTGGGACGGATGGAGTAGCAATAAAAAATAAAAAAAAGATATTTAAAGCAGGTCGAGCACATTTTCATGTGCTTGACTCATTAAAAAATATCGTATGTGAGAGACTTGTTGAAGATATAATTAAATAAAAAAAAATTACTTTTATTTATATAACTTAAAAAATATCGTATGTGAGAGACTTGTTGAAGATATAATTAAATAAAAAAAATCTACTTTTATCTATACATTCCTAACGTTTACTTATGATAGAAGATCTTGATGATGGCATAGACCCCATTGGGCTTTTACGGAGATTGCTCAGCCTCCCATTTAGGGTGTGTTTGGTATGAAGGAAAATGTTTTCCTAGAACATGTTTTCTTGGAAAATAAGTTGATTTTTGACTTATTTTCTCATGTTTGGTTGGTGAGTAGAAAATATTTTTCGGAAAAAAAATTTAGTGTTTGATTTATGAATGAAAAATAATTTTGAGAAATATCTTTTATTTTTACTAGAGTAGAAAATAATTTTTGAAATTGAAAATAGTTTTTAAAAACAAACTTAAATTTTTTTTGGGGAGTGGGGGGTGGTAGAGGATGGGTGAAGGGGGGGTCGAGGGTAGGGGTGAAAAATTGAAATTTTGAAGTTGAAAATATTTTTGAAAAACAAACTTAAAATTATTTTTTGAGGGTGGGGGGGGGGGGGGGCTGGGTAGGAGGTGGGCGGGAGGGATCAAGGGTAGGATGAAAAAATGAAATTTTGAAGTTGAGAATATTTTTTAAAAACAAACTTAAATTATTTTTTTTTGGGGGGGGGGAGGGGGGTTAGGAGTGGGTGGGTGGGGGCTGGGTAGGAGGTGGGTCGGGGGTCGAGGATAGGGTGAAAAAAATGAAATTTTGAATTTGTAAATATTTTTTAAAAACAAACTCAATTTTTTTTTTGGGGTGGGTGATCGAGGATCGGGATGAAAAAATAAAAATTTGAAGTTGAAAATATTTTTTAAAAACAAACTTAATTTTTTTCTTTTTTAAGGGGGTTGGGGGCTGATAGGGGGTTGATGGGGGGCAAGGGTAGTGGGTGGGGGGTAAAAAAATAAAAAATTGAAATCAGAAATATCTTTTAAAAACAATTTTTAATATTTTTTTTGGGAGGGGGTGGGGTAAAAAAATTGAATTTAAAAACAAGCTTTAAATTTATTTTTATTTTTTTTGGGGGGTGGGGGGGGAGGGGGGGGGGGGGTTGGTTGGAGGTGGTTTGAGGGTAGGGACAAAATAAATTGATTTTTTCAACAAAAAAATAATTGTAATTTGAAGTTGGAAGAGAGTTTTGGAAAATGTTTTCCTTAAGTTTAGAAGGGAAGTCATTTTCCTTAAATTTGAGGAAAATAAGTTGATTTGGAAAATATTTAGCCCAACCAAACATGAGAAAATTGAAAAACAAAAATGTTTTCCTTCATACCAAACACACCCTTAAGGTAGACAAAGAGGAGAGTATCATATAAGAACACAATAATAAAATCTCTTTGGAGTTTGGACTCAAACCTTCCGGGAGGGCCTGTTGCAGTGATGATGTATTGAGTTGAAACTAGGCTGTCAAAATGAGCCCAAAAAAATTAAAATGATTCGTCTAATCCATTTATATTTTAGAAAAAATTAGCAAACTAGTCACAATCTTTAACATAATTATTAAAAACATCTATACTTTAAAATAATTAGGCGAAATGGTCTGGTGAACCCTTATATTTGTATCAGTTTGTATTCTAAACCCTTCTACTTACACCTTTGTCATCTGAACCCTTAAACTCAATTAAAATGAGACTTTTAAGCCCCTCCAACCATATGTGTAGCTCACTCTCCTTTATATAATTGACATGTCATATTCACGTCAAATATATTAATGCCACATCATAATTATTTCATAACTATTTTTTAAAATTATTAACCAAAATTATTTAATAAAATGTAAAATAATAACATTTTAATTTATTATTGGCATTTCTAATTCTCCCTATTTCACGACCAAACATCGCCGGCGTCGTCGCCATTTTTGCCGGCGAAATCACATATACTTTCTCCCTCACCCATCTTAATCTCCGCCGCACACCATCACTACTTTTCTTTCCTCCTCCAACCTCCACAGTAACAACAACTTAAACCACCGCAAAATCAGATCTGGCCACCGCACAACCAGATCTGGCCAAGCTTTTCGTAATCCTCACACCTCAAATTGCTTACAAATACAATTTCACACCAACCTATGGCGTGAAACTCGTCGAAATCTACCCATTATAGTTTCTCCCCTTTCCATTGTTTCATGGTCCAAACCATCGCCGCCGTCGTCATTGTTGCCGGCGAAACCACTCATATTCCTTCCTTTACCTGCCTTCATCTCCGCCACACATTACGACCATTTTCCTTTCATTCTCCAACCTCACAAAACCAACATCCAACACACCAGATCTAGTCGAAAAATAGATTTTGGAAAAAAAGAAAAAAAGGGTTGGGCAAGGGCTGAATATGGCTGAAAATGAGGTGTAATGGGTGAAGAAGAAGGAGTTTTTTAATTAATGGTTTAAAAAAATTATTTTTTTATAATTTTAAATATTTTTTAAGTAAAAATGCTCCTCACTCGCCTTAATAGGCGTGTAGTTACACACTTTTGCCAACTCAGACATCTTACTGCCACATAAGCCTGGTCAACGTTCAGAGGGGTTTGTTAAATTGTGTTTTATTGAGTTTAAGGGCCCAGATGACAAATGTGTAAGTAGAAGGGTTCAAAATACAAACTGATACAAGTATAAGGGTCCACCAGACCATTTCGCCAAATAATTATTAAAAATGTCAATATGCCAATATTTTAGAAAATAAATTGAATCCTAATATAATTAATCTTCTTTCCTTTTATTTCTCAAATTAGCCATTATTTATTTCACTATCCTGTAAAAAAAATAAAAAATCATCACTCTTACCCATTTTTCTAGGTTTTACCCCAAATCACTCTTTTCTCTCTCCTCTTTTTCACCATTATTATCTTCTTTCTCTGTTAAAAAAATCAATTCTTCGAATTTCTTACACTTTGTTTAAAAAATCTCACGCTTAATTCAAAGATATTTCACCCATTGATAAAGTAAATTCGAAGTCAACAAGTATTTTGTGAAGTTTCTTGTGATTTTGTTTTCATATTCACCAAGTATTTTGTATTTCAAATTTTTCGTCTTTTAATCCGTATTGTTTGATTTTTTTGTGAGTTTGTTTTAATATTCACCAAGTATTTTGTGAGATTTTCCTCTTTTATGTATTTAAGATTTTTCGTCTTTTAAGCAATATTGTTCGATTTTTTTGTAATTTTATTTTCATATTTGAGATTTTGTAGATTGTAGAAATCTACATTGGCATTTCATACATCATATATTGTTTAATATTTTATACATTCATATTTAATAATTTCGAATTTTGCTTATAGGGTTATTTATGCACAAGTGAATACGGATTTTTAGATTTGAATTTGGTGAACAAAAAATAAAAAAAAAAGGAACATGACAGACGAAGAAGAAGAAGAAGAAAGAGAGAGTCAGAGAAGAAGGTTGCAAAAATTGTATTCATATTAATTTTAATTTGTTTGTCAATTATTTTTCTTTTACTTAGATTTGTATTTGTATTAAGAACATTGTATTTCTTTTTAAGTTTGTAGTCATTCTAATAGGTATGCCAAATGGATTTGTATTTCTTAAGCATGTATCCTATTTATTTCATAGTTAATTTGTATTTATTTTTTTAGAATATTGTATCCTTCCTCAACAGATTGTATTATTTTCGCAATGTATGCTATTTTTTTTACCAGAATCTTGTATCCCTATTTCTTTCATAGTTAATTTGCGTTTTTTTTTTAAAAAAATACGGTATCCTTCCTCAACAGATTGTATGATTTTCACCATGTATGCTATTTTTTTCCAGAATCTTGTATCCTTTCGTAAATCATATTCATATGTAATGATTGGATTATATTGGGATACAATCATGTAATACAATTTCACTGGAATACAATTTTAGTTTTCATTATGAAAGTAATATACTAATTTTAATTTGAATGGTAAAGTAAGTACATAAAATGTAAAAATTATTGGTATGCAATCACGAAGAAAACATAATAATTTTTTTCTCTTTTTTGTTATTAAATAATTGTATTCTTTAAATCAAACAAATAAAAGAATACATAAATAAGATACATAACAAACAAAAATATTGACATTTTAAAAATTTTCCCATTTTAATGGAGGAATTGGGCTAAACTTTAATAAAAGCTAAATTTCATTTCATTAAGCATGATACATTCTAAACTAAGTTTTTATACGCATGATACATTCTAAACTAAGTTTTTATACGGATTACCCCTCGAATGGATACTATTATCTATCCGGACCTAATTTGTTCGGCACAAGTTTAAATTTTTTTAAATTTTTTTGAAACTAAATTTTTACATCGCTCGATGTAAGTACTATAAGAATTAAGTTATACAACATAAGTTGTATAGTATTTTTTTAAAATTTATCGTAATATTTAGAAATTGGAATTAAATTTTTTGAGGCATAGTATGTTCTTTATCTTTTTAAAGAACTGATAATTATTTTTCCCACGTCATTACCTGATTAAAAATTCATTTTGTCCTATATAGATTGATAAGATCAAACATATCATTAGTGACAATTTGACACTATACATCTAGTTGGACATTTTATCATCTACTGTTAACAAAGTGGGCAGAAAGGACCCCTTTAATTATAATTACCTTATTTTTTTGGTTTGTTCCTATCACGTGATAAATGATAATCAAACGCGTAATTATAGAGCTTACCTAATTTCATGACACGTTTTTGTTCCCCTAAAATACTCAGGGTCACTTGGTATCTGGCTCAGAGTTTGAGTTATGAAAATATTATATTGTGCCTACTGCCTAAGTAATATTATGATTGGTAACTGGTCAGAAGATTAGTTATTCAAGTATAAAATAATATTATGTTTGATTTATAAATAAGAATCGACATAACTAATATACGTATAAATTATGAGAAAAATTTTATGTACTATTTTATACCAAAAAAAGGAGATAAAATAACTTCTACATAACTAATTCATACACAAAATGACAGAATAAATCATAAATTTTCTCATCACTAATTTATATATTACGCATATTCGCATAACTTTCACATGCAACAGACGATCCTAATTTAACTATGATTTTTTCCTTAAAAATTAAGTAGATGGGAATCATATTCCCCACTTACACAATCATAATTATTAATTACGAATCATAGAACAGGAAAAGTTGGATCTCTTATATTGGCGTCTACCTATAAATATGGCTATCCAAAATGCCGATAGGAGTAGAGCATTATCAACTTAAGTGTTTTTTTTTTAGAACAGAGGAGAAATTAAGCTAAAAAATGAGTAGTTCCTTGAATTCCCTTTACTACCGCACAACCAAAGTGGAAGAAATTGAGAAAAAAACAGAAAGGCAGATGGAGTATTTCACCAGAGAGATACAGAGGCCTAATTCTACGAATATGTGGAAGCCAGCAGCAGCACCAAAGAAGCCATCGGAAGATATCAATGAAAGTGCGGAGAATTTCATAAAGAAGTTTAAGCAACAGTTGCTTCTCCAGAGGCTTGAGTCCATGGAGAACTATGAGCAAATGCTTAAGAGGGGAACATAAGGGCTCTGTTTTTTTTTCCTAAATTTTTCGCGTGTGTTATGTATATGAATTGTTTCATTGTATTGCTATAGGTGTCTCATGTCATCTATGTCAATCAGTAAGTCATAATTATAAATAAATGGAAAACTATTATTGGGATTTTTGAAATTTGCCTTCTTGTTGCTGTGCTTTAATGCATGTTTAATTTTTGTAGTACTGCTTCAGACATGCATATTTTTCACCATAATTCACTAGCATTGGTAGTTTGGTACTAAAAGTGAAAGGTCTTTCTAAAAGAGGTACTCCTTAGTTCTTTCAATAATTTATGCGACACATTTTTCTTTCTGGAATCCTAGAAAGAACACATTTCAAAAGTCCATAAGGTGTACTCTCTGATTTAATAATTCACTTACTTTGTTTGTAAGTATAATTTTGAATCATATCAAGTCTTATTTCTTAAATTTTATTTCCAGTTAAATTACATCATATAAATTGAAACAAATGAAGGAGAATTTATATGTATACAAAAAGTATTTCTTATATGTATTCTTCAAAGTTAGAATTGCGGTTAAGTGGTAAGTATTTCTTTATTGTTAACGAGGCATTTCGGGTTTACGCCTGGGATATGGAGTCACATTTGTTACTTTAACCCCAATTTGAGATTATTTTTTTATATGAATTCAGATTTAGTCGGACTTCAATACGAGTATCACGAAAGGAGAAAATATAGGATATATCTTTCTTTAATGATCTTGTTGGCCAAAAAAGATGATCCCTTTTATTCATATTAAAGGAGAGCAGGGTATCTTTATCTTGTCTAGTCCTTTTTGAAAATATGATATTGGAAATCAAGGAATAAAAGAGGTTATTCTGTAACTTTGAACAAACTTTTTGAGGTTGTATCAAAAGCTAGCCAGTACCCTAATTGGTGTTTGTTTAAGTTGTAATTTGTAAACAAATTTCTTAAAAGCTTTTTGGAAAGGTGTTAAATTGTCCCAGAAGATGTTCTTAAAAAGGATACCGTAGCAACTACTAATCATTTCCAAGTTCTGGCTTTCGGCCAGGCAGCCTTGGTAGCAAATTTGGGACGGATCGGAGGGAATACCAATTATTCAAAGCAGGTTGAAGTCATTTTCACGTCCTTGACTCATAAAAAAAAATCAAAATCGCATGTGAGGAACTTGTTGAAAAAAAATCAAACTCGCATGTGAGGCTATAAAGAAGTGGGATCTCTTTGGACTTTGAATCTCGCTGAAGGGCCTTGTTGTAGTGATGATAAATTGAGTTGAAGATGAGCCCATAAACAATTGATTCACTCAATTTATTCAAAGTTTTTTGGATTGGGCTTAAAAATCAAAATTTAATCCATTTAAGTGTGACACATTTCAAAACAAGTTCTTGCTTGCATTACACCTCAAATGGATTGGTGTTTAATTTTTACTTCTCATATTTCAGGTACTTAATTTTGCCTCTCCTCATTTAATGAAAATTTGTGAGCCAAAATATAGGGGTGTGCATCAGTTCGGTTCGATTTTATATATTATCGGTTCAGTTTATTGGTTTTCAGTTTTTAAATATACTAACCCAATAACAAACCAATAAGATATTTTTTTATCGATTTTTTATCATTATCGGTTTGGTTTTCGGTTTACCCAATAAGAAAATGTCCATAAAATATTATATGACTTCTCACTTCTCTAAATGCTTTGAAATAGTGAAACAAGAAAATAACGAGAAATTGCATCAATAAGAGAAAATATAGTACAAAGGCTATAATTACATGTCATTGCCAAAACATAGTATGAAATTTCTAATGTTAATCAAATTACAGACCTTTACAAACTTGCAAAAGCTACAACCTACAATTACAAACGAAAAGTAAAATCAAATAATCCATCAAAACTAAAACTAAAACTAAAATCAAATAGTTACAATTGTGAACCCTTACTTTAGTCTTTAGGTTTTGACTAAACAATAAAGACTAGTAACGCGGTCTGGTGTGAAGTGGGTAGAGTACTAATAATTTGATATAGTTATAGTGTCTAGTTATATATTAAATTATTAATATTTAATATTTAGCAAGGGTAAAGTAGTAAATTATTACCGTCTTATTGGGTTATTGGGTAATAAAAATCGAAACCGAACCAATAACCCAATAACTTTTTTTTATAAACCCATTAAAAACCCAATAATCCAATAACATTTTTTCGATTTGGTTTATTGATCGGTTCAGTTTTTGCATACCCCTACTAAAATATCTTTATTTATTCTTGACATAATTCGATCTAAGAATTTCTTTATCATTTGAAATTGAACAATTGTCTCGCTCAATATAATTTTATAGAGATTAAGTTATGCATCATAAATTGTGTAGTATATTTCAAATTTTGTTGTAGTGTTCGAAATGTAGAGTTATGTTTTTTGAGGCATATATTCTTTATCCGTTTTAGAGAAAAAGTATTTGGTAGTTAATGTGAGATGACAAAGATGTACATCCCATAGATCTACGCCCTCCAGAGTGTTTTTGGTACACCCATCCTGAAAAGCCTTTGCAAACACTGATATTTAAGGACATGAATTAAAGATCACCCCAAAAAAGAGACATTTATACGAATAATCCATTTGCATATATCCTCAAGCGTGGTTAAATTGAGTGGATCCGTCAATTATTTTACAAAGATATTGATCTTAATGTGAATTTTGATACGCATATTCGTACCTACGCATCCAATTTTATCATGTGATTCAACAGTTGGCCGAATCAACAAAAACTTTGTATTTTCCACCTCACTTTTTACCTAATATGAACTGATACGTACTACTACAAATTATTTGAACTCTTACAGAATTAGGAAAATGGACCTACTCTAATTGTTAGGTTTGAAAAAATTAGGTGTCATGCGGAGCTAACAAAGCAAATCTCGAAAGATTATGAGTAAGAAAACAAACGAGAAATATACCAAAAGACACAAAGATTTAATGTGGTTCAGTCAACCGATCTACATCCACAAAGGAGATGAACAATTTACTGCTATATAAATATGAAAATACAAAATATTGAGAGAAATAACTCCAACCAATTCACTCGGAATACAAGGAGGTTCACACAAGTGATAACGTATCACTTGTACTGTCCCACAAATTCTCCCCCTAACCATAACTCTTAAAGTCCCTAGGACTACATTGTGAATGTTAATTAAGTTAGAAGAAACAAGCTTCTATTTATAGAGTTCTAAATTTTTTCCTACGAGAGAATGACTAGTTAATCCTAAACTTTTTCCTAAAAGGAAAACCTATTTATGATAAGAAACTCAAGACAATTAATACTCAAACTAATCAGACACTCATTATAAATTAAAAGTATCTTTGTGGCTCTGGTTTATTGTTTGCATAATTAGGTAAGCAAGAAGTGTTTAAATCTAAATAATCAGTAATTAGTTGGTATTGATGATTTGTCTTTTTTCAAGTGATGACTAGACATGGTGATAAAGGGTACATGATTAACCTGCTTGTTTGGTCTTATTTGATTAATCAAATTACTAATTAGTAGTATGCAACATGAGATTGCCGTCCTCACATATCTACTTAAACTTGAACATGACAGCCAGTATTTCTCTTCATTTTTTTATATGCTCAAAGTTCTTTTGTCTCTGATTAGGTTTTGGCGCTGTTGTCGTACATTTGTTGACAGTTGACACCAAAGATTCAGTTTCATATGAGTAGTAACCAATTCTTTATTTGACACTCCATTCTTTCAATCTGAAACGTTGTCCTTTTTAGTCATTCTATTTAAATTTTTTAACTTAATTCTTTTTCCTTTTATTTTAATAATAAAACAAGCTTTCATTCCATATCTAGTTGATACCCCATAATACACATACGGCATTACATGGATACAAATTTGCTATATCTATTTGCAGTTTAAATTTACCACAACCAAAGTTGAAATCGTACACACTCCAAAGTTTTTTTTATTTTTAAAAAAGTCATTAAATTTTAGGTTCAGCAAACATAAAAATCATATTTGTATGTTATAGCTATAGTTTGTATAATTGCGCTTCATAACAAACTTTATGTTTGCTATCACTATTAATCTGTATATTTCGGTATACATATACATAAAAAGTATGTATTTGGGTCTATTTGTATATTTCGATATACAAATGGGCCCTACATTTGTATATTTCGATATACAAATGAGTCTTGCATTTGTATATTTCGGTCTATTTGTATATTTCGGTATACAAATGAGTCTTGCATTTGTATATTTCGGTATACAAATGGATCCTGCATTTGTATATTTCGGTATACAAATGGAATGGCAAAAAACATGGAATGTTTGCTGCGAATTACAAATAAAAGAAACTATGGTTATAGCATTTAATTTGAATTAATAGTTTGTTATTTCATACAATTTTCCCTATAAGAATTGGTTTAGTACTCCCTCTGTCCCAATTTATGCGACTTACTTTCCTTTTTAATCAGTCAAAAAAAGAAGTAACAATTTAACTTTAAAATGTCTATTTTACCCTTAATGCAATAATTTACAGTCACACAAAATTTTATCATTCATTTTGAACCACAAGTTTTAAAAGTTTTTATTTCTTTCTTAAACTCTGTGTCGAGTCAAACTACTTCACATAAAATTAGACGGAGGGAATAACTCTTAAGTAAAAAAATAAAAGTTAAACTAAAATGACTTTTAAGTCAAAAAATAAAAAATAGAGAGGTCTTACTTTTGGTTTTTAACTTTTTGTAAGTTATTTAAATTATTTTTAGCACTGTCAAACACTTCTAAAAGCTAAAAATGACTTAGTAAGTTTGACCAACTTTCAGGCCAATCCAAACAGGCTGTAAGTACTCCATCATCCTTAATTAGAGAGGTTCTTCATCCTTAACTAGACAAGTTTCAAATTTGCACCCCATTGGCAATGGAGTAGCTTTTGTTAAGAAGCGTTTTACCCTCGATATGAGACTCCCCCACACGAATCCAAATTTAATTGAAACAAATCCAAATTGTTGGAACAGACTTCCCTACACGAATTCAAATTTAGTAGAAATAATGTAGGTACAGACACCAAGTGCGAAACCAAAAAAAGTTTTAAAAAATCATAAATATCATTTGAGCCAAGTCGAGCACAAGCTAAAGAAAATGTTTATATATTATATCAAAGTCTTTTATAATCCATTAAGTTCCATCCCAATAATTCAAAACACTAAAGAAGAAGATAACTCAGTAAAGACTTTGAATCTCAGAAGAAAGGATGACCATTTAAGGATTCAAACAAGCTCATACACAACTTCAAATCTGGACAATTGGCAATTTGTCTTATTACCAACAACCTAAGAAAAGAAGAGACCCAAATACATAGAACACTCACTAAATAACAAATAGTACTAGTAACAAACATCTTTCAGGTAATCAATCAATCATTCTTGATTCTCCTAAACATGAACAAGATAACAAAGTATTTGAACACTGAAACATGCATTACACTCCTTTTTAAGGCTTGATCACTGGGACTTGTACTACAGCGGATTGTTTCTGTGTTTGCTGAGGTTGAAGCAATTGAATATTAGCCCTTGAGCATGATCGAGCCATTTCGCCAGCCAGGGGAATCACTGGCAAGTTGTCGCAGTTACAAATCTCAACCATGAATCCATCTGGATCATGGAAAAACAATTGATCAACATATATTCCTCCTTCTTCAACCAGATGCCTCGCGTATTTTATCCCCATTTCTGTCAGCTTCTTCTCCACTGCATCTATGCTCTCACACTGCTCATCAACCAACAAAAAATTCAATTAAAACTAATTTTCAAAATAAGTTGTTGCACACATTGAAATTTGGCAGAGTGTTCAATTCTACAAGATGTATTCGATTCCATTCTACTCTAACCTAAACTCTAGCTTATGCTCATATAAAGGCATTCAAAATCTTCGCCTCTGACCGTACTTACTAAATTTCATACTTATATATCCATGGCTTCATGTCAAAAGTACTGAATTTAGTTAAATCCATTGCAGATACGCTAAAATCGGCCTTTGTTTGGGAAACAGAACAAATTACCTGGAAAGAGATATGGTTGTCTTTGGGATTGATTTCAGTTTTCTTTTGCATTTCCTCAGGATCTTCCGATTGAAGAAGATGAATCCCAATTCCGTAGCTAAACAGCCTGAAACAGCAAGAAATACATGGAATCTCAATACAAAAATCTGATAAACTAAAGATTCAGAAAGGATGTTAATCAATAGTAAAATTTTGGATTATGCATCCTTTTCTTCGTAATTTATTAATAACAGATGAAAAAGTAAACATGAAATTACCAAGCGCCATTGAAATTGAATGATCCAGGCCTCCTTACAGGCACAAAACCAAGAACATTCTTGTAAAATTCAATGGATTTTTCAACTGATCTGCAAACAAGGGAGATATGATTCAGGGATGTCAAAGCAAGTGGATTTCCAGTATTCCCCTTCATCTTTCGTTTTTTTCTTCTCAAATCGAAGAATTAGCAAATGGATTAGAGACCTGAAAGAGGATTAAAGGAGAAACTAGGAGTAGGTTAGGTCACGGAAATTTGTAATGGTAATGATGAAAAAAAGATGAACTAAGGAGGCTTATTTATAGAAAAGGCTCGCTCTGTTTTAGTTTGACAGCTGTGATACCTCTGGCCCACTATGGATCTGATTGACACGTAGGTACAAGTTGCTGACGTGGACGACTTTATGAAGTTACTTTATTTGGCTTCTTACACGTAAGCTGTTTCGTTTTCTTGCTCCATTCATTTACGTAAATATAGTAATACGGACGATTTCTGTATATTTGACCCGGCAATTCTCACTATTTTCTCATCTTTGAAAAGTAAATTTCTTTTTCTTAAAAAGTCTTTAAGAGTAATTTTTAAGTTATTAAAGGATAATTATAATTAGAGATATACTCAACCGTGGCGCTGCATATTCATGTAGTGTCCACCGAACAGGCGATAAATATAGAAAAATTATTTCGATTTGGATATACGAGAGAACGAAGAAATTGAAGTACAATTTCATATTTGTTCCTAGTTGAGTTTTTCTTCTAATATAGTTAACAAAGAGGAAATGATGTGGCGATGGAATGACCTTTTTAGTCCACAAAAATAAAGATACAAATAATATATGCATAAATTATATTTATTTAAACTTTATTAATATGTGCTAATTACTTTTTTACTTTTGAATTGACACACCTATAAAGAAAATAATGATTGACATAGTAGTTTACTATTTTACCCCTATTAATTATAAAGTAGATGAATTAAAAATTTAAGATTTTGAAGAAATTTTACATTTTTCAAAGTAATTAATTGAGGGTATAATAGATATTGTCTCTGTCCACTTTTAATTGTCATGTTGTGCTTTTCAAAAGTCAATTTGACTGATTTTCAAAGTTTAATTAGATTACATTAATTCGATGTTTTAAACAAAAAAATTTAAATATTCAAAAACTATACGAATAGTACTATGAATTGCAATTTTTTTCATATCGATATGATAAAAAAATACATCTTAAATATTGGTCAAAATTTTTATAGTTTGACTCTAAAAAGAAAATTATGACAATTAAAAGTGGACTGAGAAAATATTACTTGTCTAATTTTCCTTTTTTATTTGTCTATTTTGACAAATCAATAAAGAACAAAAAATTTTAGAGTCAGTTTGACTAACATTTTTTAGGGTCCACTTCTGATTGTCATAATTTCCCTTTATAGAGTCAAACAATAATAATTTTGACTAACATTATACAATGTATTTTTTCATAATATTGATATGCAAAAATTGAAATTTATAATACTTAACATTATACTTTTATTTGTTTAGTCCACGATGTATTTTCTTTTTAATATTTTTTGACTATTTAAACTTTTATTATTTACATGAGCAATTTTTTATTTTTCACCATATAATCTTGCACCCTAATTTTCTTTTGGCATGATACATAAATATGTCCTTCAATTTAGTTTTAACTGTCATCTATGTCTTTCAATTTTTATGAACAAATATACACTTCAATTTGTATAAAACTGATAAATAGACATATTTGTCTTATATGACGTCCTACATAACAATTCTATGTCTTAAATGGCGTCCTAGGTGTATTATACCACGTAGAATGCTTGTGTATAATTATTTAATTTTATACAAATTTAACTATCTATTTGTGCACAAACAAAATCGAAGAATATACATACCAATTGAATTAAAGAGTATATTAATTTATCATGCTCTTTTTTTTCCTATCCCAAATTTATTTTGTAATTTTAAAAAATAAATGAAGAATCTAGATCTTCCTTTCCCATTTACCATGATTAACGTGTAACGTTAAGTTTCTAGTTAACTTTTTAATTTTTCCTAATTTTAGATATTTATGACATTATCATATGAAAGGGGGTTAACTGTTACCCTTCTCTAGTTAGTGGAACAGGATGGCAGCTTCCCCCCCTAATTTCCCAAACTTTTTGTTCTTGGTCATCATAAATTTCACGTGTTTTTTTCAAATTCAACCCCTCGATAACTATAATCAAACTTTAATTTACATATATCAATATCATCGGAGGTACTTTGGGAGAGACTAATATGTCCGCAAGTTATTAGTTGATAACCGAAAAGATCATTCAATTTTGTATTTTGAATCACATATCCTAGTATAATGAATTAAAATTTAATTCATTATAAGTGTAATAAATAGTTTTTTTACAGCATGAAAATATCCAAAATATTTATAATTATCTTCTCATAGATTAAAATATTTTTAAAAATATATATATACAAAAGCATTTATATTCAATTAGTTGAGAAAGCAAAATAGTAGAAGTAACATGTACTAGAAAAGTTTGATGTCAACGTCATGGAAACGTAGATTGCCCACTTCAATAACTAAAAAAACTCACCAAACAAATGTAAGTATTATAAGACAATTCTGACTAAGAAAGATTGGGTTGTTTAAAGTAGAAAATAGGTTAAGATTGTTTTATAGCGCATTCACGGACAAATACATGAGCTTTCTTGTCTTTATTTTGAGTTTAACATTATATTCCATATATTTAAAGATCTGGAACTGATGGTAACCTTTAAAAATGAGCCATTCATATTCTTGATTAATTATTTATTCACATGCTCAATAATTTCGAAATTAGCTTTGAAAAAGGTGGTTCTTTTAACTTATGAGTTGAGTAACATGATGATAAAATTATATTGATTCGTGAAATCATAATTCGTTTAATCTTTCTAAGTTTAGGCTCATTATTGACTTGTCCATAACTCAGCTTATTTTAATCCATCAAAATTTGCTTTGATAGCTAGCTCAAATTAAGCTAGTGTTTGACCTTTGAGTGAAGTTTTACCAAGTGTTTGGCCTCAAATTTTCTCAAAAATATTTATCTATTCCAAAAAATATGATTTATACCCATAAGTTCTAAAAAATATTTAAAATACCCATAAATTTATATTATCATTTTATAATGAATATGTTTTATTAAAAAATAACCTTATAATATAATTGATAACAATCAACAATAACAAAATAACAATATAGGCAATCAATACATTAACAAATTGTTCTTTTTTCTCAATTTTATCACTCAAATTACAACTCAAACTTTTCCGGAGGAGGTAATAACAAATATTAATTGGATTTAATAAATAATGAATATTTTTTATAAAATATAAAAGTTTGGAGTAATTTTTGAATTTTTTAAAATTCTCAAATATTATAACTTGACCCAAATATTATTTTTTTTCTAGTATTTGGGAACTTGGGATACTTGGCAACTATATTTGTCAAGATATAATATGACCAAACACCACTTCTCAAATTTCCCCCTAAATTTTTCCCAAATATTTTTACGGCCAAACGGGTCGTAATTCATATCTACTACTTATATATAAGTGTGGATAACCACACAGGTGGAGATCAACATGCCTGCTTCACCTGTGTGGTTCCACACTTACATATATATTTGTCTATTTTTTCCTCCGTTTTAATTTGTTTGTTTTATTTTTTTAATTTTTAATATATTTAAAAATCGCATAAAAAATACTATAAATCATGATAATTGACAACTAAAATTAATATATCTGTGTCACATAAAATGGGACAAAAGAAGTAACATGTATTATTTAATTTGAAAACTACGTAAAAAGTATTGTAAATCTCAATAATTAACAACATATTGACTCTTGAAATTCTACTTGTGCTATATTTATTGGCACAAGGAAGATAACATATATTATTTTAAAATTACAATAATTAACAACTTAAAATATTTATAAATTATATCAAAATTTAATTGACTCTCTAAATTTTATTCATGCCACATAAAGTGAGACAAAAAAATCTACTGCTTATATATAAGCGTGGATAACCACACATGTGGCGGTCTGACTGCTTCACATGTGTGGTTCCACACTTACATATATATTTGTCTACTTTTTCTCCGTTTTAATTTGTTTGTTTTTTTTAAATTTTTTTTATATATTTAAAATTTGCATAAAAAATATTATAAATCATGATAATTGACAACTAAAATTAATATATTTGTGTCACATAAAATGGGACAAGAGAAGTAACATGTATTATTTAATTTGAAAACTATGTAAAAAATATTGTAAATCTCAATAATTAACAACATATTGACTCTTGAAATTCTATTTGTGCTACATATATTGGGACAATGAAAGTAATTTATATTATTTAAAAATCACGTAAAAATTACAATAATTAACAACTTAAAATATTTTAAAATCATATCAAAATTTAATTCACTCTTTAAATTTTATCCATATCACATAAAATGAGATAAAACAAATAACATATTGAACTCGTACTAGCACGGGCACTTATATCTAGTACTCCATAAGTGAGAACTTCTCGAACAGAATGTGTTAATTTAGAAAGTAGGTAGGATAAATTATGTGAGTGCTTTCTCAGGTTTTGTCCTTGTCGACTTTGCACTATAAGTTAATTTTTACAGACTATCTGCATCATGAAAATGTTGGAAGTGACAAATTTGCTCAGTTGATTCATGTCATGTGTATGTATCACAATTCACAACTCAAAAGTTATAATGCAATCCAGCTAACTTTTCATGTCCTATGTCCCTTTATATTCTACTCGATGTATTCTATATTAATTGAATTTATGAAACAACTGTCAAATCATAAATATAATTTTGTAATTAGTATAATTTATCTTTTAGAAAATTTTAAATTTATTAAAAGAAAAGTCAAATAAAATATAAATTCAAATATTTATCTTAAACTTTGAACTAGTCAATTATTTTGAACAATATAAGAAAAACCTAAAATTCAGTTAATATGAATGGAGAAAGTATATTTTTATAACTGATATCTCCTATTGCTTCTATCCCAATTTAGTTATATCTTTTTTAATTTGTGCGAAAAAGAATTATACATTTTCTTATTTGATAAATATTTAATGACACAATGAATATTTTACTCATGTTTTGTCCCATTTATTTGGTATTTTAGATCTATACACGTCCCAATCTATAAATACCAAATACATTTTCTTTTGCATGCGCATTATGTAACTAAGTAT